TCTCTATCTCACACGCTGATCTTGCACTTTCTTCTGCAGTGGTCCAGGCTGCTGACATGCAGTGCCATGCAATGCAATACCCACACTCCATCAACCACGTCTCTGGCCAACCTTATATAATCCCAAGGCAAGGCCATCGAAACCAAAGTCCAACCTGCCTGAATCAACCACTGCTTGGTTTGGAGATAGGAAGAACATTGCCCTGGTCAAAGGGCAAAGCAAAAGCTTTCAGAATTCACCTGACTTCAAGATTAAGGTATGAGTACCAAGCATGAACAAGAGCAAAATTTTGCAAAGGGTGTACAAAACCTGCATTTCTTTAGTAACTGGCTACAGTGACCCCAAGGACAAAAATCAGTCCATGCTCTGGAGGTGGTACATGGGAAGGACCCTGGAGAAACCAAGGCCAACACTATTGCCTACATCTTGTCTTGTTAGGGATGTCACCCTTACCTTCCCCTGCATACAATGGGACGTGGTTTAAGAGGGTTTGAAGGTCTGGCGTGGGGAGGGAAGGATGTTCACATCCCTGCAATGTTGAGACGGCAATAGGAAAGTTGAGGAAACGTCCCTTCCTTCACCCCTGCTCCATACAAGCAAAGTGCATGCTGCACCGCTCCTCCCCAGGTCAGCTTAGAGATGGCAGAGCAAGGTTTACCTCCCCGCATCTCAAACCCAGGGCCTCTATCAGCCACAAAGCACCAACAGCAGCTCCTCCAGCCAAGGCCAAGCCGCCTTTCCAACGCAGTCGGCTCAAACCTCAGTGCCACTGCCCGCAGCCAATGCTGGGACAGCCCTGCCCGGAGGCAGCGCCGGGCTGAGCCGCCTCCCCGCGCGTGACCAGGCGTTACTGGAGCAACATCCCCGTGGGAGGGAGGGAAGGAGGAAGCTGGGCTGTAAAGAAATAAAACCACTGCAGAGCTGACTGCGAGAGGAGAGAGAGCAAGAGGCAGGCTGGCTGGAAAGGAGAGCTTTACTGAGCCCGCAAGAAAATGGTTTGAGTAATTATCAACGGTAAGGAAACCTCTTGTTTGAAGCAAGATTGCTTAGAGGGATTTCTGCATGGTAAATACTTTGCATATTTTATGGCCTTGGCTTGTCGGGGGAGAAAGACTGGTGCTGGAGTGGCTTGAAACACAGCCAGGACGCCAGACGTAGTAACTCCCTTTTACCCTGTTAAATCCAGTCCTCTCCGTTTCCTCTGTTACTTTGGGCCATAACCTACCATGGGTCCAGCACAACACCCAGCAGATCCTCCTCTGCTCGGATCCCCAGCTCGCAAAGGCATCCAGCTCTGGGCTCTCTGGGGAGGGATTTTCGGGGGAGCCGGTGTTTTGCATTGCTGCAGTGAGCAGACAGGTCTCCCCTTTGCTCACTGGGGACAGGGACATCCACAGGCCTCAACCCTGACCGTGCTGGGGAGGGGGGGGGCTGGGCTCACAGACAGGGGGCAAGGGGGGCACCTCCTGTTGCTGCCCGCTGCCTCGGGCAACCTGCTGCCCTGCCCGCAGGGGAGATGCGCTGGGTCCCCATCCCTCCCCGCCTGTGCTCCAGTGACCATAGTCTTCCTCAGAGCCAGGCACTTTGTCTGAAGAACTGTAACAGGTAGACATTACAAAAATTTATTTTCTTTCCGCTTTATCTTCCCTCACTGGGTTTTGCCTTTAAATGTCATGGCTGCATCCCAGCCCCTGTCAGAGAGGGCGAGCAAACAGCAGCCTTTGGAAGGGAGGACAGACTTACTCCGGGGGTAATCAGAGCAGGGAGTGGATGTAACCCGCTGAAGCACTGCTTCCCCAGAGCTACATCTCCCTGGGGCAATCTGTTATTTCAGGCACCCGGCTAAATACCAAAATGCAGGCACCCCAGCTGGCAGCGAGAGATTTCTGTCCTTGCTGCCAATCTTTCCCAGACCCTTCCTGGCCCATTTAAAACACACAAATCGCTATGACTTTGCAGATCACTCATGTGATGCCGCCGAGAGCAGCTGCTCCTCCCGGCCGCCCCCAATTTGGCACAGCGGGTACGGATTTGGCATGGTGAGGACCTTCCTGGGTCCTCGTTCCCTGCCCCAGCCGTGGGGCTGCTCCCGGCAAGGAGGGCTCCCTGGGGAGCTGCTCCTGCATTGCCTGGCTCTGCTCCTCAAGCATTAAAGCTCGCTGTCAAAATGAAATAATTTTTGAACAGCAAGTGAAGGAAACAGCATGGGAAAGAGCTGCCTCACCAATACCAGTTTCACTGGTTCAGCTGAGTCACTCCCGGTTGCTCTTGTGCAAACATGCCCGGAGCTGCAGGCTCATTCCCGGGCAGCAGCCAGGTCGTGTCCCGGGGTCTCCTACCTCTGCCAGGGGCGTAGGGCTGTCGCAGGAGACTCACGGGGAAGACGCAGGGTTGAGCCATCCCCTCTCTGCTGCTCCCATGTGCTGGCGTGAGGGGAGGAGAGGGAACTGCAAAATCTCCAGAATATCACCTTTCCCCCAAAATAACAGCTGGATCTTTAATGGGGGGATGGGGTGAGGGAAAGGGGATGTTTCCCTGCACTAATGCCTTAATTAAATGCATACAAAGGAAAAGCAGAGCCTTAGTCATCTGGCCTGCAATGGGAACCAGGAATTTGCAGAGGCCCCAAACGGGAAGGAGCAGGGCAGGCACTTGGGTGTATTAGTGAGAGGAATCAAACTCCTTTGAGCAAAGGCGTTAAGCTCCTTCTCTGCAGTTAATTGCTGGGTGTTCAATCGCAATCAGGGGAGCTACCCCGGCTGGCACTAGCAGAGGCTCTGGCCGGGTGCCTCCCTAGCAGGTCGGGCACACCGGCCCCTCAGCTGCCCTGGGTGCAGGGGGTTGCATGGCTGCAAGGGCAGCGGTGGTCTGCGCCAAGGGCAGCGGTGGTCTGCGCCGCTCTCAAGCACCGAGCAGCCCCAGCTGTGAGCTTTGCAGCGCCCTGGGGAAAGCTGGCCCAGGACAGGGTGCGAGGTGCCTACAGCTCAGCAGAGGACAGGTCCAGCTGGGAAACGTGGATAATCTGGAGGCACCAGTGGTGTCCAGGGCACAGTTTGGAGACTGCAGAGCTTTAACCCCTGCTTGCAGCAAGGTGGGCTCTTCTAGAGAGCTCTCTGTGTCGTAAACCTGGCCCGACTCCCTTGCACTTACCTAACATTGCTTGCAGTTCCCATCAGGAGGTTTTCCGAGCACCTTGCCACTTCACACCCCAGCCTTGTCCCTTCAGCAATAATCTTTCCCCCTGGCTAATCCTGAATCCCCCTCTTTTTTTTCCAATGCTTGTGCATTTGCAGATGTAAAGGCAGAGGTATCAGCAGCCCCCCAAGCAAGAACCTCACTTCCCAGGAACAGCAACCCCATCCAAGACCAGCCCTGCAGGTCCTGAGGGTAAAAGCCCTCGTGGTCCTCCCCTGGAGGCCACGAGCTTTCTTCACACTGGCTTCCCCAGGAAATCCATTTGCCAGGAATCCTGCAGCCCAGGGACTGAGAACATCAGCAAATCCCTCCCGTATCTGCTCTCAACGCAGAAGCACAACGATCAGTCTCATTACCAGAATTTTCCAGCTGGCAGAAAAAAAAAAGATTGCCAATGTGTATCAGATGCTCCTGGCACTTTGGGGCCATGGAGCACCAGGGGAAGAGCATAAACGATTGCATCCTAGCAGCAAATTGGGCTTTTATACTGTAAAACCAAACTGTGCTCCCTATGATATTGGTATACATTCAGACAATATCCATGAAGGTAGAATCAGCTCCCGAGCTAGTGTAAGGAGTCTGAGAGCTTAGGTCTGTGGAAATCCCATGGTGTTCTGTACAACCCCCTTCCCCAGGCGCAGTAAGCTGGTGAAGCTGTCCTTACCAGGCAGCCAGCACCCCGGCGCAATGCACAGCACCCACAGAGCAGAGGGCTGCAGGGACCACAGGGCACCCCCCCTCCAGCAAACCCCATGTTGTCACAGAGAGCAATGACAGCAGAATCGCAAACTCCGCACATGCGGAGAGGAATCTGCCCGATCCCTTCCTGTGACAGCCCCAGCTGAACCAGAAATAAAGATGGTTGAGAAGAGGCTGGTTGGGAGCATGGTGATTTTTCTCCTGGAAGGGGTTTGCTGTCATTACGGTGTTTGAACTGACCGATGCCTTCGATCATGTGCTGGCAGCGCCGAGGCTCGCTGCTGCGGCTCGCCTTGCTGCTCACATAGGAAGAGATGGACCCTGTCTCACCGCTGCTTGAGATAGAAACAAACAGGGGAGCGGGCAGAGTCACCCCACACCCCTGGGCAGAGCTGGCACCAAGCCCCCGGTCCCCAGGGCTCAGCCTCTTGCTGCCACCCTGAGCGAATGCTTGGCCTTCAGTACCCAAGGTGTCTCTGGTACAACACCACATGAGGGGGAGATGCTCGGTGGAAGGATGGGATGTACGCAGTGAAGGGCTGTGCACAAACTAGTGACCTTGATTTTAAGCCTTTCCTGGCTTTGTGCAGGGCAGGTGTCCTGCGCAGAGCGTTCTTTGGGTGGGGGAAGCACAAGCCCTGTCTGGGGGAATATGGGGCTTTGTGGGGAAGGAGGGAAGGCAGGCAGGCTGGGAGGTGCAGAACAGATCCAAATCACCCATGCATACTCAGCCACAGCTAGGCTGCAAGACACAGACCTTAGGACTCTTTATACCAACCATTGCCACTTCCCAGGACAGCTATCACCACCAAACTGTAGTTAGGTGGTCAGGTAAATGTCAGTGCTTGCAGTCACCTGAATTTCATGGAAATGTCTGGCTCCGGGGACAGAGGAGGACACCAGCAGTCCCTGGATCATACAGCAGTTCTCCATTCATGGGCACCACCTGAGCACGCAACCTCTTGTAGGCCTACAGCACTTCATTTCCCATTCCCCCATGGACTCCACGCAAACACAGAGGTCTCCTGCTCACCACTGGCTCCTCTTACATGCAATCCTGGGGGGGGGAGGAAAGGAAAAACAAAGGAAATCAGCCTGTCCCAAAATGCAGCTGAGAGTCCAAAAAGAGCCATGCCCCAGGGTGCCCTACACAGTGCACAGAGCCTTCTTTAAGGCCTCATCCCATGGATCACCAAGATGTCCATCACCCTCCTCCCAGGGGTGACAGGCACCAAGCACCGTCCCGAGCTAGATCTTAAGTAGCAAGTTTGTTGAGTCATTGCTGAGACGTCGCCCATGGCTGTCAGAGGCCAAAGCTCGCCGTCACTGACAGCCTCGTGACACGAGCATAATCCAGAGCAAACATCACATTTACAACACTGCTACACACAGATTTTCCCCTATCTTCCTTGTGCTAAAAAAAAACCCCACATGCTTCATTTCGAAGGCGTGGGGCTGGCACCTGCAGCTATTCCCTGTGGCTTGACGAGGCTCCCAGGTAAGAGCAGCAGGGAATTTCCCAAGGGATCTCCAGGCTGTGCTTGGATTTTTTCTGACCCCCCACAGCAGCTCCTTCACACCGAGCCAGGGGGCAGGCAGGAGGTCTCAAAGATAAGCAGCTTTCTGATGAGTCTTGCATGTTTTATTAGAGTCATGTTTCCACTCGTTCCTTTGGATAAGTCCAGGATGAGCAATTACAGCCCTCTCCTTTGCCCCACAGCTTCTTCACACTGTTGTGTATGGAGAGCTTTTAGTTTTCGGCGTTTTCCAGTCCACTCTGGTCACCTGCCCATGAACCAGCTCTGGTGCGTGGTCAGTGCGGTGGTCTCGATGAACTGACAGAGACAGGGCACACTGCTGTGCTCCAGGTGCCCCCCTGCCACGGCCCGAGGGAGCCGGCCGGTGACCAGGAGCCGGACATAGCATCCACTGAAGATCACCAGGAGCTGCTGGGCCATCACCTGGAATGAGCACGAGAGGCGTCAGAGCAGAGCATCTACCTGCAGGAAGAATGGACGATACGCTAAATACCATTTGCTCCCTCACTGAAGGACTGTCCTCATCTGAAGGAAACAGGACAGGAGCCAACAGCATATATAACTGTCCCAGATCCCCTTCTGGTCAGCAGTGCTGGCACACTGTCCCCACAGGGGAGTGACATGAAATGACCACTCGCCAGTGGGTGGCCAGGGAGCCAGGCTGCCTGGGGACCTGCCTGCTCTGTCACTGCCTTCTCCTGCTTTTTTTTGCCTGTAGACAGCCGGAGTGCTTCAATCTGCAGGGATGTCACCTGCACAAAATTCACTTAGTAATAGCAAGCCAAAAACCATAAAAATAAATCAAAATCATCCCTTTTGAAGCTTCTTGCTGAGCGGGAATGAGGACACATTTGTTGCTCAGCACGGCACAAGTCTTTGAAGGCACGTTCCACAGAGGAGACAAGGGCTGAGCGTGGTCATGCCTCATCCCCAGCCCAGACACAGGCACTGGGTCCCCGCACAGACCCTGGGAAGAGGTTGGCTTCCAAATGGGGACCCCCAGCCACCAACAAGGAAAAGCCAAACCCATTAATTCCTCAAGGATGAAGCATTAACTGCTCAGTAAGCATTAGCTGCTCAGCAGTGCCAGGGCTGGAGAAGGGGTGTGTGGACCTCCAGGCTTCCAGGTGCTCCTCCTGGTGGAAAAGGAGGCGTCCCCAGGGCTGGGGCTGCTGGGATGTGTTTTGGAGTTGCGGTGCCTGGGGAGGTGATTCGGTGCCTCAGTCTGTTCAGGGGGGATATTTCTCATTACCTCTGGTGGGCCCTCAGGCACGAGGCGGAGCAGCTCGTTGCACATCACAGGCTCTTTGGTTAGGTTCACCCGGCTGGATAGAAGAGGAGACTCTTCACACAAAGCCTCCTCCTCCGTCCCCGGGTTGGGCTGACCCGCTGCCTCCATAACCACACAGAGCTGGTCCAGGCTGTGCCGCAAGTCCGACTGGAAGAGAAAGAGATTTTGGGGGTGTCCAAAGGCAAGCAGGAGTGCTGTCCTGAGGACAGCCTTTAAAGGGCATGATTTCCTCCTGCACCTTTTTTACTCCTGGGAGTTATCATCCCAAGAGTAAAAAAAGAGCATGGGCCAGAAGCCGTGCTCAGCAATGGGAGCCGAGTGCCTTCCTCCCACAGCCCCACTGCCATCAGCCGCCTCTTGTGCTGGTGACTGCTCGCAGCACAATGGTCACAGCCTGGCACGGAGAATCTTGTCTTTAAAAACCACATGAGTTATATGAGCCAACATGTGAATTGGTGTGGTGGTGTCCATCTCCCCATCTGCGCCTGTCAGTTCATCCAGATGAGCAGCCTTCAGATTTTGGGAGGGTTGTACCCCCTCACCTCTCATCCTGCAGCCGTGGTCAGCAAGGGCAATTCAGGGCAGTGATTGTGTATTATACATAGAGGAAAACGTTTTCTGAAGGCCAAGAGGACAAAATTTTTCTACGGTTAACCCAGTACAGTGTTTACTTAGTCCTCAGGCTATCCGATTTATTTCAAGAGGACAGCTCAAGGTGCCAGCTATTTCAAGTTGTGACACATGCTTTCAAAATCTGCCCTCAATTCTTGATGACTTTCGTTTATTAAAGCTGTATGGTTAATTATCCAGACACGCACGTACTACAGGGCCTAAACAAATCCCTGCTG